CTCCCGGGGCCTTCCCAGGCCGCGAATGCCGGGGGTTGCCCCGGCCACTGAGTGCTCCGGAGCCGGCGCCACACGCGCCAGGACTCTTCTGCTAGCCCTGTCCCGCTCACCGCAGCGCCGCCGCCTTCTCCCGCCTGCTGCAGCTCAGCGATGGAGGCGCCCCCCCGCTGCGGAATCCCATCGCCCTGGTAACCGGATGCCAAGCTCCGGACTAGACCATTTCGGCGGGGGAGCCAGAGCGGCCGGGCGCGGCGGGAAGGGGAGCGGGCGGAGGCGGCGGTCAGGGGCTGCCCCCGGTCGGGCGCTTGGTTCAGCCCGCAAAGATGGCCGCGGTCCCGCGCGCTGCAGGTAACTGGCAGTTTGTCAGCCCGGCCCGTGTCCTGCTGAGCCCGGGGCCCCGGTGGGCAGGGGATGAGGGCGTCCACAAGGGGAGGCCCACGGGGGAGCTGGGTGTCGCGACAGGTGTCGGGGGGTCTGGCCCGGGCCTCCGGGCAGGCGAGGAGGGAAAGCGATCCCGGGGCCCGCCCCTCGCTGCGGCTTTGGCAGGAGCCCCCGGGCCGTTTTTGGGGGGGGCAGTCTGCGTTGAGCGGTCCCTGGGGTGGAGGAGCCGCGCTTGCTTAAACCAGTCCACGTAGCCTCGTCTCTGCAACGGGCTGTCAGTAAAGGGCCCGCGGGGGAGCGGCCGGGTGTGGGGTGATGCCACGGGGCCGTCGCTCCCCCTCCCCTTCATTCTTGGTCCAGTCAAAATTTACCATCGACTGCCTGGTGGCAGCAGCAACATTTCCTATTCAGGCAACAGCCAGGAAGTCGCTTGATTTTATTGTTCATTATAATCTACCTGATTCCTTCTAAACTCCTAATTCCAGGCCGTTAACATTTCTCTCCTTTTTAATAGTCTCCATGTGCCAGTAATCAAGCTCTCCTTTCTTTGGCAATTCTGCTGTCCCTGGTAATATAGCTCCTATTTCAAAGTCCTGGCTAAAAACATTAACTCAGGTGTGGAAATTACTTTCAGTGAATCATTGGATGCACTGTCAAGATGTCCAAGAAAGCTAGATTTTGTTTAATGAATCTGAAAGAGAGATGTACATTCAATCCTAATGGCTACAGGACTAACACAGCTATATCCTTTGCTTATGTTTTTGCTTAGTTTGTTGTGTTTTGATACATAGTATATGATACAGCACATTAATGCACAATCCAATAAAGTTAAATTTATTGTTCCTTGATCTTAAACTGAGTGATACAGCCTTAGGCCCTTAGCATATTAGTAAAGGCTCTAGTTTTTTTTCCTGGAGAAAAATGTGTATTATGTTATATGTGAAGGTACACCACACCGTCTGCATCCCCTCTTGAAAATCCTAGATCTGCCAATGAAAGCTGCTGTGGGGTGGAAAGGAGGGCCATGTGTCAAAGTGTTTTCATTGTTCCTTAGAGAAGATACCGTACACAGAGGTTTTCCAACTGGTTCAGCACCAGTGATGGTGGCAGCAGAGCAGCCTTAGCACAGAGCAGACACTGGTGTGGCAACCAGAATGTCATCAAGCCATGTTCCAGGGAGCAGAAAGCAACACTGACGCTGTCAATTCTCAGTCTTATTTCCCTTAAAGACCCAGCAACTGGAGTCATGTGATTGCATCAGAATCTTTTCTTTCATTTCTGTGAAAAGTTCCCTTCCTAATATTGATAATTTATAAAACCTCATGCATTTTAAGTCAACCTAACAACCTTAAGAATAGCAGCAGATGCATGAGACTGTTACTGGGTCATTAAACATTCCTGGATCACAGGTAGCCCCAACTCTGTTCCCATTGCTATCATAGTATAGTTGCATTCTCATAGCAGTGATGGGAATTTTGAGTAAAACTGCTCATGACAGCATGGTCCATGCGGGTCAAAGAAACCACCTTTTGCCCCAGGAGTTAGTTATGGCTTGGTCCCATCTGGGACAGCGGCCAAAAACTTAAGCACTCTGATGTCTATGAACAGGGGATGCATTTGCTGTCAATATCTGATAGGGAAAAAGGCCATTTTCCTGCAATGACCATCCTTATTATAGGCTTCAGAAGGCTCAAGCTTCAGGATGTTGCTTACTTCTTTTATAAAATTGTGTTTCATGATCTTACAGGAAGTTGCTACCTTGGATATATTATTCTATGTTGTAGTAGGCCCTTTGTTCCTGGGCACTTCAAGAACAAGTATTTTTTTTTCCTCCCATGATCAGATCCTATAGACTAAGGTACAAGCAATACAGCTCTCACCTGGCAACGTGAGCAAAAGTGAATTTCAAAAAAAGTCCTGGCAGGTAAATGCTTTTCATATTTTTACTGCTATGTGTCTTCATGGTAATTATTCTTAAATTACCCTAAAGAGGCCCCAGTCATCTAGTCTCCATAAATGAATTTCCAGGAGAGAAGCTGGGAAGTTTGGAATTGTGGGATTTCCCCTCCCAAAGAGGGGACAATTCTTCCATTGGGTCCATGTAACAGGTAGCAATTTCAGCAGATGGACATGACCCACAAACCTTCCTATACCTAGTCAAGGGAGAGTATGGAGAACTGTAACGGGGTTGTCATGAGTCTGGTTTAATCATTGGCCTGCCCACCCGACTAGGGCAGTTCGCCCACCTGCCTCACCTTTGCTGTAATAAAAAACAGATGTTCCTAGGTGGGAGGCTGCCCATTTAATACCCTGATGCCAAGGATGTAATACACAGCTCCATACCATCCCTACACTGTGTCCCATGCCTCTCAGTTGGAATCACTATGTGGCTCCAGGCCCACTATGGACCTCACTACACTTACCTGACATTCAGACCTCACCTGTATCCCTCCTTTTCAGGCTCCCCAACCTCATTCTGGGCTGTAAAGCCCTCTCAGCAGTAGCCCCCTCTGGGACCTTTGGCCACACAGGCCCTGGCCTTGCTTCTAGGCCAGTCAGGACTCCAGGCCTCTGGCTCTGGCCATCCCTCATGGTGAACGCTCAGGCTCTGTGAGCATTCTGGTCCTGGCCTCAGCACTGACCATTCAAGGTTACTCTGGTTAAGTTATTGAGCCACTTGCCCTTACCCTCCCCTACAGATCCACTTTCTTGGGCCGCTCTAAACACAGCTTACTTAATCACAAAGGCTGGCCTATGCACAGTCCTTCAGGCCTACCTATGCAGACCCTACTTTATACAGCTTTCTTACTAGGGAGGCACTGGTGTGGCATTTCCTGGGCCCCACCACACCATCCAACTCCAGCAGGGTGTTGTTTTAGGTCATTCCCCAGGACCAGAAACCTGCTCCATCCCCACAGTTCCTACCCTTAACCTCCAGGTGTTCTGGGAGTAGCAGCTCCAGCTAGGCAATGTTATTCCAGCAGCAACTGCCTGCTTAGTTCTGAGGGCCTATGTTTCTAGTGAGGCTACCCAGCCCCATCCTCCAATCTAGGAGCCCTCTTGCAGTCATGTGACTGTTTCGTTAGGCCACACTGCACCTGTTGGCTGCTCCACAGCCTGCTCAAGCCTCTTAAAGTGGCAGGCACCTTTGGTGCCTGCCACAAGAACAAAAGGGAAATTTGTCCCCAATTTCTAGTAATAGACAAAGGTAGCATTTAGAAATAAGCACATATTGTCTCCTGATATCAAATCAAAACTAAACTTTAGTGCTCTGTTACTAATGGGGCCACAAGAAGCAAGACAGTTTAACTGCGCGATCTCTTATCTGTCTAATTACACTGCTCCATTACTGTAGTAGTTCAGGGAAAGCAGCTGACTTTCCTAGTCACTCCAGGAGTTTGTGGTAGAACTAAACTGCTGAGCCCCACTGTACAAAGTTCAGTTTTTTGCTTTAACCAAAAAATCAGCTCTGACTGCATCCCTGGTTAAGAATCATGTATTAAGAACTGAGGGTGCTTTTAGCTTTTGGAACAGTAGGAATGCTGTACAGAATGAAATAAAGACAGCTCAGCTTTGGACATCATGAGTCTGTTATCCTGGTCTGACAGGACTTTTTTACTTCCATTGTAGCAATGCCTACCGCACATGGCCACATTTCCCATCACAAGGGGGCTGAGGAGTACACAGACACAGGGAGAAACAAGGCCTCTGTCCTAAAATACTGAAAGACATCAGTCTTTCCTCAGCATTGCTTGGTGTAGGACAACCTCCATAGCCCCATTTTTGCTTCCATCGCAGTGTGCAACAGGCAGTTTCTGTCAGACATGCTATAACAGAAATTCTGTCCTCCTGCAGCTTGTAGAGCAGGGTTTACTCCACCTACTGTTTTAGCCCCTGTAATCCAGAGTCCCAGTGGCCAAGGGACCCTACCACATAATTTCATACTGGGCTGTGTGTTCTGTGAGAAATAGCAGAAACTCGCAGGCACCAGCTATGTTGCTTGATTGGTGGGTAACCTTTCCTATGAGGCAGTGTTCTGTGTTCTCCCACAATGAGCTCAGCTCATGCCTCAGGCTCTCAGCCATCATGGGCAAGCAGTGCCATAAGGACTCAGTGCTCCTGAATGACCTCTGGCAGATGCTCACAGCTGCATGCACTGACTCCCCAAGGAGTCACGTCTAGCTCCTTGCTGGAAGGAAAAAGGGGAGCATGGGCACCACATTGCCTGGGGGAAGAGCTCAAGAAAGCTTTATTGTTTTAAAAATTAAATGTTAGGTAACGTATATATAAATTCTCCATTGTGTTCTGTTGTTCTCATCCCGGTTTGAAGTTGGCAGGTTCTGAGCATGCATTTCCCATGATGGGTTTTATTTGTAGATGAAAGTTCTCCGTAGCAGGTGCCTGGAGGAAGACGTGACCTTTTAAGCAGCAAGATGAGTGAATGGGAAAGGGTTTTTGTGCAGAATCTGACTGTCCCTCCGCACTCGCAGAGGAGACGGCAGGTCCGGAGGGAATCAACAGCATTTCAGTGTGTCCTGAAGTACATCGAGGGGACTTTGATTAAGCAGGTAAAAGGACTATTCTGTCTCCCTTCTGGCTGCACAGTCCTCATACCTGTCTCTTTCTGATTCAAGTATTTTAATATTCAAACTTTTCACAGAAATAGCTGAGTTTTAGGCTGAGTGTGACAGGCATGTAGGAGGTCCTTTAACCCTATGCAGTGGGGACTGCCGCAGTTGCCCACTTCACCTCACCAGGGCCAAAGGGTTTTGGCCAGCTTTGGAGGCAGGCTTGAGAGATGTGTCTCACCCTTGTCACCAAAGAAAAGTCATTTGAAAATGAATGATTTTTATGAAGAGATTTTCAGTGCGGAAAAACAGCTTGTCTCTGGCTAGCAGTTCAGCATTTTGGTTCAGTGCCATTAATCGCAAACACCTGTATTCGTACCATATGAAGGCAGCCATTGAGGGTAGATCTGTAGCCCTTAATGCAGAATCAGATTAGTGTCCTCAGCTGAAGAACACAACTTTGGGAGAAACTGACTTTTAAAACGGGGGAGGGCACACACCTGTCTCCCTTAATTCTCACATGCAATGATTATGGAGGTGAGCATTCTGCTGGAGTCAATCAAACTCACAAGCAAGGTAGGCACTTGTAAATATCCATGCACCCTTGTAAACATATCCATACATTACAATTCCCTGCACTTGGGAAAGATTTGCCTTGTCTGCATAGTTGTGACGGGGCAGGTCTTGGGGCCGGATCTCCTGCTGGCCTGCCCACCTGTTTCTATGGGGCAGTCTACTTAGTCTTTCCTGCCAAGATTTGCTGTTCTATAAACTGTTGTTATAATGCGGGAGACTGCCCATTATAGCCCTGATGCCAAGGGGCGCTATCGACAGCTCTGAGCTTCCCCTACACCACAGCCCATGCCTCGCAAATGGCAGCCATATTAGTATTGCTCCCTGGTCAGAGACAGGAACAAACCCAGTCTAATGTTGGGCTCCACTCACCCATACGTTCATACCACCTCCCTTCTTACAGGAGGCTTCTTACCCTCTGCCCCACTCTCACTGCAGCCTCTGGCATACTGACCATTACTGGACCACACTCCACTGTGCTTGCTTCTTGAGCGGCCCCTCTTGGGCCATCAGGCTTTGCTACTCACATACTGGCCTTGCCATGCAGTCCTTTGGTTCCCGTGAGTTCCCCTACTTTACGTGGTCTGGCCTTGTGCCAAACCCTGGGCTAATTCTGTCCCAAACTCCTCACTGGACAACTCTACACTATGCCCCACCCTGGAGTCTCTGTCTCATGCTTGCAGCCAACTTCTCACGGGGCAGGCCCTTGCGCTGGCCTTCGCGCTGGCCTTCAGGCTTACTCCCCTTTGGCCTTACTTAGCGCACCCCTAGGACTGTCCTTCAGGCCTACTCCCACTTCAGCCCTACTCTGTGTGGGGCCTCCCAACACTCTATACACAGCCCCCTCTGGGGTCTCCGGGACCTGCATCCCTGCTTGGCTCAGGCACCTACACATAGGCATACCTGGCTCCCAGTACTCCCCCAACTCTCAGAATTACCCACCAGATGGTGGGGGCTAGGGTTAAGGCACTCCTACCAACCTTTCATCGGGGAGGTAACTGGCCTGGCATTTCCTGGGGGCTCCCATGCCACCAGGAGCCCCACCAGGCCACCCTTCCCTGGCAGGGTGTAGTTTTAGGTCATGCCCATGCCTCCTGCTCTTACTTCTAGATGTTCCATGCCACAGCTCAGCTAGGCAGTGTTTTTGCTTGGGCTGGCAGCAGCAAACTGCAAACTTTACATACCTAGTGTTCCCAAAATGGCTGCCCTCATCAGGCACCTGGTAGCTGCCTGCCTCCACCCACGAAGTGGCAGGCACCCAAAGATGCACTGCCACAATAATGCTCAGTCAACATTTGGTTAATAGATTGTATTTTGGAGAGTCAAGCTGCTAACATATTCAAGTTACCATTTACTGTGTAGCTGTCCATTACTAAAAGCCTGTACAAGCCATGTTCTCTTGTGTTTATATACCTTTCTCGTTTGGTTAAGACTCAGCTTTTTCTGAGGCAAAAGGAAAGAGGTGAAGATTGGTTTCTGAGGCATAATGCTAGCAGAAAAACTCTTCAATGGGTTGGTTACTCTAATCTGGAGAGAACTTCTGTCAGTGCATTTCCTAACTGGAAAATTGGGTGTGGTAGATCTGTAGTGATAGTGAAGGTTTTCATCAGATATAGCAGTGTTCTGCTTTCAGAAGCCTTTCCAAAGGAGAAAAAAAGTTAGATACATTGTGCTAGGGCTCTGGTAAAAACATAACATGATGTAACATACAGTTCAGTGGGTTAAGGCATTGTTCTACTAAATAATGTAGAATTACTAGATCATTAATATTCCATTTGACAGTATTTCTCTACGCTTCTGAAGATGACGGCAATATCGGAAATATGAAGGGGGGCTGGTAGTTTAAAAAAAAAGAGCTTAATTTTGGCTATGCTAAAAAACTGACTTTAGTTTTTTACACATTTTTGGCTTTGGACCTGAACTACAGCTGTTCTGGTTTCAGGCCAAAGGACACAGAAGGCTGAGATTTCCAAAACAAACTGAGGTAATTAGCCATACGGTATCTCCTAGCAGCATGAATAGGAGTTGTGTCTAAATCCCTTAAATAGAGAGTTCAGAAATTCAGCTACAGTTTCAAATGCTAATTTTTAATACTGACAAGTGTCTGGAGTAGACATGTCCTTAAGCATGAAGTGTTTTGACATTTGAGTAAATCAATCCTTATTTTTAAGTAAGTTGTTATGTATGTACACATTTACCTGTTTCCAGATTTCTGATTTACATTTTGAAAACTGTGTCCTGTTTGAAAAAGATCCAGGCACCTTCAGGACAAAAATCACTGTGGGCGTGTCTAAACATTCATTAATGCTCAGTAGTTACTGTGCATTGAGTTTAGTAGTTGCTTAATGAAGTACTAACTAAATGTGCAGTAACTACAGTTACTGCACAGTAGCACTGGCACATGGTTTTTTAATGATACTTACTATACAGTAGCCTAATACTACTGCACAGTAGTGTGTTAGCATGCTATTTGCCCAGCACACTACTGCACAGTGTTATTAGGCTACTGAGCATTAAGCATGTCATGTAGATGTGCCCTGTGTGTCTGTCAAAGGAAAGGACTTACTTCTCTCTTAGGTGGAGGGGGATGCTACACTGATATTTCCATGCTCAGTGCCAGTGCTGTAATCCAAGCGAAACCTCAGGGTTTCCAAGCAAAGTTACAAGGAAAATTTGTTCTTGAAATTCAAGTGTGAAAGCGGCTTCCATTCACTGAACAGCTCCTGGAAGGCACAATTTCTAAAAGCAGATGTTTGCTCTGTTCCCCAGAAATGTCACCTGGGGTTTGTGCTATACTCCAGGAATATTAAAGGAGCAGAAATTTGGAGAATTAGCAAAATATAAGTAGAGCCAAAAAAACTATCCCAAATGAAAAGGTAACAGGCTCAGTGCAGTAGAAATAGGTTACAAAGAGTGGGTGTGTTGGAGAGGGGGAAAGAAAAGACAAATTTAATAAGAGTGATTGTAATTTATGAGGCCCCTGTTTAGAAAGCTCTTAAGCATGTATTTTAGGGGTGCACCGGTTGAGATTTTTTGGGCTGATACCGATGGCCAATTTTTAACAATCTATATTGGCCGATTCTGATCCGATTGCTGATATGCAGCCAGGCATCTTGGAGAGCAGCATCTGGCTGGTAAGTCTGTTGTAGGGGAAGGAACAAGGGAAGAGGTGTGGAGGTGGGGGCAGATTGAGGCCTCAGCAGTGAGGCCACTGCACACACCCCAGGAGGGCATGAGGAGTATATGCCCTCAGATCTGTGCACAGGGCAAGGGTGAGCTGCCACAGTGGGCTGGGGCCAGGCTGGTGCTGATCTCTTCCTGGCA